GAGGCCGACGAAGACGGTGAAGCAGCCCTGGCCGTGGGTCACCAGGGAGAGCTGGGACTGGATCTCTGCAATAGGAGAGAAAAAGGGGGATTAGTCTTTCCTGGGGAAAATCAGGCTTTTCTAGGATCCTCTGCTATGAAGTGGTTTCTCCAATCCTGACCCCCTCTCACCAAACCCTGCCCTTCCCACCCACCCATTCCCCCCCAAGTGTGCCCCTTCCACCCAGCTGTGCCACTTCTACCCATCCATGCCCTCTTCCTACCCACCTGTTCCCCCTTCCCACACACCCACCCAACCATCCCCATTCCCACTGGTGTCCCTTACACCCAGTTGTGCCTCTTCCACCCATCTGTGCCCCTTCCCAACCACCCCGCCCCTTCCACCCAACCCTTGCCCCTTCCAGCAGGTTTTTTGGCAGCTCTAAACCCAACTTTAGGTGGACATTCCACCAGCTTCCACAAATTTCACGGCCCTACACAGCGTTTTTTAGGGAATCCTTGCACCAAATCAGGACTTTTCTAACTATGGCCAATTTTGGTTGAATAATTGAGGCTTAATTAAAACCCCTGTGAAGAAACGAGCGGCCAGGGCTGGGTTTGAGGGCTGCGGCACAGGAGCAATTTAACATTAACTTAAATGTTAATTGATGAATCCGCTTTGGGATGAAGCTTAGGACAGGATTAACACTGTAACTGCAGCGGAGCCCGGCGCTGACGTGGTACCTGGCAGAGCCTGTGCCTCTGGGGGCAGCAGCTTCTCGTAGGTGTTGAATATCCCGGCGTCTGAAATGATGATGGGAGCGAAGATCTTCACTGAATCTTGGCCTTTCTTGACACTCACACCTGGGAGGGAAAACCCAGAGCGTGGGGAGCGGTGCTGGTGAAGGGACCCCACTCTGGGGAGCGGCCCCGCAGCCCGTCCCGCGCCGGCGCTCACCGCAGGCTCTGCCCTGGGAGTCCAGCAGGATCCTCTCCACCGGCGCCCTCCCAAACACATTGCCCCCGGCTTTCCGGATCACCAAAATGGTGTGGAAGACGATTTCCCCAGAGCCGCCTTTGGGGTACCACGCACCGTGGAGGAAGTGGTTCACCAGGATGCTGTGCATGGAGAAGCTGACCTTGGAGGGGATCACACCTGGAAAAACAGGCAGCCAAGGTGGGTTTGGGCCAAATCGCAGGTTTGGGGCTTATCCTAAAGGTTTTAGGATGAGGAACACCATAGACACAACACTGGGGAGAAGGAGGGATGCAGGTGAGGAACTTGGAGGAGCAGGGAGGACGTCGGGCATGGCAAAGGGAGAGGTTCGGGGATTCCGGGTGGGGACATTCCCGGTTTGACGCCACCCTGGAGCCTCCTGGCCACCTACCGTAGGTGGGGAAGATGTAGCTGAAGACAGCCCGGAGCTCGGGGTTGGAGGTGAGGCCGTCCACCACCTCCTTGAGGCTGCGCGAGGCCATGCGCGAGAAGGCGCAGAAGCGCGGGAGGAGCCCGGACCAGCACAGGAGCCTCACCAGGTACCGCGGCAGCATCTTCAGGACACCCAGCAGCATGACCCCCCGGCTGGTGGTCTGCGGGGGGAGCACAGGGGTCAGCGGGGCCACGCCCCAAAAATACCCCAAAGCACCTTTTTCCCCTTAAATTCACCACTGGGCATCCTGGGCAGCTGTGGACAAGGGGAGTGCTGGTTCCCCCAGGAAGCTTCGCCCCGCTCCAAAAAAAAAAAACTCCCTTCAAAAAATCTCCCCCTAAAAAAGCTCCCCATAAAAACTCCCCCAATCGGGAAAACTCTGCTCAAAAGCTCCCTCAGAAAACTCCCCCAGAAAGCTCCGTTTAAAAAAAGGTCCCTCGAAAAATGTCCCCCAGAAGATCTGGGGCGCTGGGGTTTTGAGGCAGGAAAGGATGATGTTTAAATGTTTCCCAACGCTTTTGGGACAAGGCCAATGTCTGGGTGCCGGGGGGTTTCCCCTCTTGGTGTGATCCTCCCGATCCAAACCCCCTTGTTTTATCCCACCCGGATGCGTCTCTACCTTCACCAATTGCTGGAACTTATCGATGGCCGCGGTTTCCCCAGGGAACTGCTCCTTCAGCTTCTGGTAATATTCCCGCTTCCCAGAATAGATCTGGTAGGTCTTGCCATTGCCCTGGGGGTCCCCCAGAACCACAGTATCATAGACGGTCGGGAGCCGGGCCCACTCCAGCTGCCCATCCGTCAGCTGGTCCATCAGGAACCGCATCAGGGAGCTCTCCTCCATCTCCCCCACATAGTGGATCCCTAAAAGAGACATTTTACTGGGTTTGCCCCTTTTTTTCTTTATTTTTCCTTTTTTTTCCCCTTTATTTTCCCACCCCAGGATGCACCGAACACACCTCTTATTTATCCATCCCCTCCCCATCAGCTCCATGTGGAAGGGAAAGGTAAAATCTGGGATACACACATCTCCCACTTGGGGTGAACAGTTCTCACCATCACATTTTTATTTGGGAATCTGGG